AAAGAATAATAAACTGAAATATGCATTAAAAATTGAATACCATTAAATACTATTTACTTTAGATTGACTCTAAGATATTTAGCTACAGCAGAAACTTTAAATACGATAGGCAGAAGACAATGGCAGTATTTGGCAATTATTGCAGTTTAAGTAAACAAATTTAAAACTTACTGGAATTGTACCTGGGCAATGGGAAGTAATAAACAAATATAATTTAAGTGTGTTCTATCATTTATTTGTTACATTGCTTAAACCATTTACAAAATACATTATTACTCATATGTATACAAAAAAATATTAATATTATTAATGTAACAAGCGCGTATTTGTTTTACCTTACAGCTCTCACTTCTCACTCTAATTTATAAAGGCATACCTATTAACAACTATTTTATTTAAAAGGATATTGAGTAGTAATCGGTGGTGTACAATCGATACTAATTCCAGTACCTATCTGTTCAAAATCTTTACCACCTGCTTTAATGCAAGCATCAATTCTTTTTTGAACACATTATGCAGTTTCTCCTCAGTTATTTTGTATTTCATTTAATATAGGTGCTCGGGTTCATAAACGTCACACAAACGATTTTGAATTGAGCAATCTGTAATATTCCATAGCATGGGCGAAGTTATGTCATCAGATCTGGGGGGGCTAAAGCCCTAGTCATATAATATATAATAGTTCTAGAGGTATACCTACTGAAGTTAAGTAAAAAAATTCTGGCGAATCTATGAAAATGGATAAAATATCATATATCGATTCTAAACAAAGTTTTGCAAAATTTCAATATTGTGAATTTGTAGATATCCATTTATGGTAAAAAACTAAATTTTACGACTTGCACTTGGAAAATAATGAATACTTCAGTTTTGATTTTGACATTAACACCATATAGATTGCAATTTGCTGGGGACTTTTTCGCAGATTTCATTTTTAACATAAACACTATCACATACTATAAGAAATAAACAAATTTAAAGCTAAAAAGTAAGAAAAACTCGAATTGTAATTGATACAAATTAAAATGTAAACAATGAACTCGTTGCCAAATGATGAACTGATTTTAAAACAAAATTAATAAATGAACTGAAATTAAAAAAAAAATTAATATAATAAATCGGTTTTATAATAAAGTCCTTAAATAAATATAGAGTATGATTACATATTACTATACACAAATTTTGATTCTTAAATAAAAGGTCTTATCCACTTCTTCAAGAGCTAAAATCCGACAACGTAGAGAAATTTTGCTACTTCTGGCAACACTGAACGATATCCTACTTATAGGGACCTTCTACAAATTTCCTTCAGAGGGCGTATCACTTAGCTTGAATCGCGAATAAAGATCCTTCCAATTATACCTTCTCAAGGAAGTGTAGGATTTGGAGTGGCTTCAAGTTAGGTAAATCTCCCTCTTCTATTTGATATGCTCCTAGGTATAGTGCCCTTGGATTTTTAAGTGCTACACATTTAGTTAGAATGTGAATGAAGATTTTTTCCTCCTCCTCACAAAATCTGCACTATCTTCTACTACTCTCAGTTTACTAAGGTGTAATTTTAGTTGGCAATGTCCAGTAAGGATCCCTGTTACAAGTGTTCTCACTAATAGAAAAATGTATATTATGATAACAGCTTAAAATACAATCTGGCTAATGTGGAACACCCCGAAAGCCTTGCCAGACTCGTCTAATGACCGTCAGGTCTGGTTTTATAACCGAAACAGAAACCAAATTTCGGCTCCTTTCTTAGTTTCGGCCGAAACAGAAACAAGAACTTTCTTTTAAGGCAATCTCTTATTGAAATTTGCAATATCTCATTGTAATCCTTGTTTTAGACTAATTAACTCGTATTATAAATTTTAGCTACATTTACTTATTACCTGTTTATTTATGTGATCAAAAGAAGCCATTAATACATTTATTGACATGTTCACTTGAAACAAAGCAGAGAAGTTTGTGTGTACGTGGTCGTGCACTGTGTAGGAATGGCACCCGGCACAGTCGCCATTGCGCCGGACACAACCAATTGTGATACGAAAACTTTTAAAAGTAGTTTCGCTGTCGGCTGCAGTTTCGGCCAGTTTTCCGCCGAAACCGAAACTGTAGTCGAAACTATTATTTAAAGCCAAAGTTGGCCGAAACCGTAACCGAACCTTCGGTCGGACACTACTTGTGAGTCTGGCAGGCCTCTGTAATTGTAATTGTCAGCCAGACGTGTATTTTCACTTACGAATATTTTGAAATTTATCCTAAGTAGATGGATAATATTCTTAAAATATGCGTGAGTGTGCAAAAATTTACTGACAATAATTTAGGCACGTTTGGTATTGGGTAAGAAAGTTTTACACCAAAATATCCAAATTTTAAAACTTGACAGACATGCATTAAAACGACTAAAATCAAATTTTTAAAGGTAGCCATACCACAGAATGTGCTGTGACCATACCATGACCATTTGTCATATTTGAAGTCGTTTAGTTGACGCGAAAAACCTAATTATTATTTTACATAAAATAAATGTAGTGTATTTCTACCTAGTTATAATTGATATTAAATAAAATATTAACCACTGAAATGGCAAATTTTTTATATGCATGAAAGAGCTGCTCAACTGTCAAAAAAATTTTCAGTATAATTTCGTTCAGGGTACCCACCAAAAGAAAAATTTCCGGAAATTTTTCTGGTTGTCATGAAAGTGTTTTAAAATAACAGCAGTTGATTGGCTATAAAATGGAGGTGTAAAATTATAATTTAATCTATCACCTGACAAATTTTCAAACCCGGGAAAATAAAAGCAAAAATATTATATTTTTTTCCATTTAGAAGATATTACCAGACTCATTAGCCAATTTCGTAAATCAGCCAGACTTATTATTATAAACAGTTCATGATTGTATCAATTTATATGCTCAATTTTCTGCCACACTCACTTTCCACTATCTGAGATAATCCAAACTGCTATTTTTATAAGCTTTATGTTCTAGTTTAGTAAATGTAAAATAGTTATGACTGGGAAAATAAGTGTCAGACTCAAAAATTTTGTTTTTTGTCACTAAGAGAACAGTTTATTTTTCATATACACCGACTGGAAAAATGAATACGAAAAAAATTCACTGCCTCCTGAACTAAATGTAAAATTGCAGAATCAATCAAATGGCACGATTCTTTTTATTTTTTAATTTCTGTTCTGAAATGTTTGGGTGGATGTGCGATAAATGTTCTAATTATTTTTGGGGGGGCTAATTTGGTTTTTGGGGGGGCTTAGCCCCCCCAAGCCCCCCCTTAACTTCGCCCATGTTCCATAGGTATGTTTAACAAAATGATTGTTGCATTACCGAAACTTTATAGGGGATACATTATCAGAAATATTTTCAATACTTTATGACTAGTTCGTAGCGACAAACCTAAAAAAAAAATATGTTTTGAATTTCACTTGTCAGTCAGTCTTTGAAACCCCGTTCATACCTGTTTGAGGTGCTGTTTTTTTTTTTACTAATTTGTTGGGAATTTGCACCATGTTAATTTGTACATCTTCAACAGCTTTTGTTATTACTTTGGGCCTTTTAGAGCTTTTCCTTTTTTATAATTTTGAACAAATATTTGTTTATGACGACAAAAAAGAATCACATTTTATTTATTCACCTGGAAAACGTTCCTCAAATTTTGGAATTACGAATATAAAATAATTTTGTTCCAGTTACCTGAAATAAATGATATATAGTCATTAACTTTTTCTAGTTACAGTAAATAAATTTGTACTTACCAACAAAAAAGAATTAAACCACCAATAATCTCTAAAAATAACTAATTGCTCTATTAACATTAAATGAAAAAAGGAATAAAGCCAATAGAGGTGTTTATAAAATGTAAACAAATATAATATAAATATTCCCAGTCCCTGCCAGTCCCCAAATGAACGCTAGTGACATTTCTGACAGGACTGACAGTTCAGTTTAGTTCCTTTTACGTCAAATCAGGCCCTTTCGATGGGTTTTTGATGGTTATCAGATCACGTGGGTTTCGGGTATTGTTGAAGACCTGGTATAAAAAATTCTTATCACACACAAGTTGTACTGTATCTAGACAAATTTATGATTTAGATGAATAGAGGAGGTTTTTCAGACATTATAATTACCTACTTTTTGCAAATTAAACAACAAATTTAATTATCATTTACAGTCGCTGCAACTTGAGGGAAATTCTAAACTGGGTCTACGCTGTAGTCGATTTACATTTTTCGTCGCCTACCATAACAGTACAACAGGGGCAAATATTACCGCACCCCATACAAATTACGATGCACATATATAACAAAATAATTATTACCACATAGTGTCTACCTATAAAAAATAGCTAGTCTAGCTAGTGTAATCGTCTGAAACATAATATTTTGTATAAATATTGTTTATTACATTTGAATAAAAAAAAATAGCAGAATTTATTTTATGTAAAATAAAATTTTATTTTGAATTGCATTTTTCTTTAAATTTGTCTTTGACAAAATATTTAAAAAACAATCCTTTGGATTCTGATGAAAAAACGGGAAAGTAAAAGAAAAGGCCTGTGAGTAAAAGTTGGAAAGGCTTTTGGTAGGTAGAAACGTCAAACCACGTCGGACGGCTTCGAGAATTTCGCAGTAATGTTTACCTGCCAGTGTCGTTTCATAGAATAAGTAATTTTAAATTGTTATCGGCGGAACCGGACAATCGCATGCATTTATGGACTATAAATAATTATTAAACATGTATTATAATATTCAAATCATAATTTTACAAAATTTCAACAGCTATTCACAAACTCGAAATTGTTATTAACATTTATAAAATGATTTTGTACGCCAATGTATCGCGTCTACTTCGGTGAGATCCGCTGCAAACCTGTCAATTTATGTGTATAAAGTGGGAGAACTGGCAAAAGCCTTTCCAACTTTTACTTCTGTTTTACGCCCATTCATATCCGTGCATTTAAACGGTTTATCTTTTAATATTAATTTATCTATGTTCATATCACAACTGTATGTTTGAATATACTGGCTTCAAACAAAGCCTATGTTAAAGCGCCCGTTACTTATCTATATTTCATTTATGCATCTGAGCTCTCATCGCTCATCTGTAAAGTGTCAAATGACAATGTCAAAGTCAATAAACATTTTTTAACCGGTGTTGCTGTCAAAGTACTTGAGTTTTGTGTTTGTAAAAATAAAAATGCTTTATAATGAAAATGACTTGTTCAAATTGATTCATCAAAATAAATTGAATAAGTGCACCGGGTAATTTCTATTTATTTAATTTGTCTCATAAGAGTCTACGAGTGAGCAAACTAACACGTACCTCATCTCTTTTGTTTACGTAAATTTTGAATTTTTAAATTTGTTTTAAATGTTATCTTATCGTAATGAAATTCATAACTAGAATGGAAAACATCACAATGTAAATAGCGTATGGATTTATATATAATGTACTCAAATAAAAAATGAAAAAAATGCTGATTGTAGAAGCATCGAGTTTCTTTGTGCTCTTGTTAATAATTGTTGTTGATGGTAAGTAGGAATATGTATAATATCCTTATTATTACTTATAATAAATAGTTTGTGCAATAAGAAGCTAGTTCTAAGATATTTATTTGATTAATATGTTTGTGCACCAATCATTTAATTTTTGATGTAGAAAACTTGAAATATATTTGTCATATTGTTGCATAAATTGTGTTAATAATTTAAGAAATACAAAAAACATTTAAATGATAAAATTCATTTTCACAAATTTGTTATTTAGTGATGTCTCATCTCTAAATGTTGTCTAAGTGTTGGATCAACCTTTTACACAAATTTAAAAAGTGTAACTTTATTGATTTATGTATGTCTTAGAGTCAATCATATCATCTGATATCAAACTTTCACATGAACATAGGTAAATTTCATCAGTCCTTTTTTAACTACAGTAATTTCTCATAAAATTATAACAGTATAACCAGCTTCTGGTATTGATTGTATAATCTCTAAACTTTGTAGGTAACAATCCATGTAAGTCACTGGCTTAACAATATCAAATGTTTCTCCAAGAATAAGAGATCTAGAATTGACATGTTTTCCTGTTTCTTAAAACAATCAAATTTTACTTTTAATTATCATATTCCTAACTTTTCATTTGGTCGTAATTCCCGTTATCAGATAGACTACGGTGACCATATAAGTTAATTTAAAAAAAGAAGCCAGAGATGACAAAAAAGGATGATAATTTAAAATATATTGACACATCATAGGCCAAATGGCGTAACCCTCAAAATGTATAGGTACCTAATATAAATTTAACCTAAAAAATCTTGCAGGTGATATGATATTTTTTTATCATTATTGTTTTGAGGCATTAAATTTAGGTTGCTGGTTACATCCTTTGGTCTGCTAATGATTTTGAACATGTGCATCCGAAATGAGGATTAAACCCATTTTCATAATTTTATGAGGTGTCGTTATTATAAATCCAACATGAAGAATAACACTCACTCCCACTCTTATAAATTAATACCACATTTCTGTTATAAAATTAAAAAACAAAAACCAAGATATTCTTCACTAAAATTAAACCTTTTGTGGACTCAATGGAGAATCTACTTCTTTCTGCCATTCACTGAGCAGTGAAAATAATCTTTCGACTGCCATATATGTGTGGGAATAGCAAAATAAAACTCACATATTTTTTAGAAGTTAAACAAAAATCAACTTGTTTCAGTCCCTTGGCAAAATAAGTTCATATTCTGTTCAATGAAAATGAAGAAATCTCTTCATTGTTATGACTGTTAATTTAAATTGTTTTTCTATTAAAATTTGATCAATTTGCTGTCATCTATGAGAATGCTTCTCTTCAGTAAGAATTCTATTTAAGGTAAAATATCAACTTTCATTTGTGTACTGCTCAACATTATCCATTGAAAACATTTAAACTATACATTTGGAGTAAAATAATGGATTTTCCATGAGTCCCAGACAATTGTGCAAATACATTTGATCGATGTTTTTGTTCGAATAGCATTTGATCGACAACATTTTGATCGAATTTCCAAAATAATGTAGAAGATTGAATATCAATTGATCGAAAAGCAAGAGATCGAAATATCAATTGATTGAAAAGCAAGAGATCGAAATATAAAATTTTCAAATGAAAAGATCGAAAAATATTTATTTTAAACAAAACACCTGTAGTTACTTAAATATGGATGGAAACTTCAGATAATATGGAATGTTTTAAATATTAATGTATAACTATATAAATTAAATAAGCAATATTTCTTACAGATTGTTCCAATTTTTCACTATTAGCTATATTCGTTATCAAATGTTTCAATAATATTTTTAAGATGCTGACATGTATCTTAATATTTCTTTTTCTTTTTTTCTGGATTATCGCCTGTGATTTTCTTTATTACTCTGAGTTCAGTCATGCCCTGTTCTTTAATTATTCCTTTTAAAACTAATTTATCTAACCTCTACGTCCTGGAACCATTTAAAATTAAATAATTGCACAGGTTAGGTAAATTGGTTTTTATATATATATATATATATATATATATATATATATATATATATATATATATATATATATATATATATATATATATATATATATATATATTTTTGCGAATCAACCCGCAATGACACCATGCAACGTTAGGTAAATTAGTTTTTTTTTTTTTTTTTTTATAATTTTATGTTAATTTTTTGGCCTTATTTGGACACCATGCAGCGTTAGGTAAATTAGTTTAATTTTTTTTTTAATAATTTTATGTTAATTTTTGGCCTTAGTTGGACTGACGCTATTTTATAAAGCGCTATTTCGTTCGGGTGCTATTTTGACTGACGCTCTTTTGATATGCATTATTTCGTTTAACGCTATTTCATGACAGCCTTAGTGTTGTTATCAAACGTGATAAATACATGATATGTTAATGTAGGTGGTAACGACAGAGTGAAATATGTCAAAATTTGTCAAATAAATCTATTTACAATTAAATTATCTGCGCGAAATTTTAGAAACTGCTTCTAAATTTATTTTTGAATAAATAATTTTTGATAACTTGGTATTTCGATTACTTACTTTTCCTTCAATTAATATTCGATATTTTGAATTTTCGATCTTATGTTTTGGATCATTTGTTCTCGACCATTTGGTTTCGATCAGATGCTTTTTGAACAATTGTCCGGGACCCGTTTTCCATAAATTTATTTACCTTTTTTTCATATCCGTGCTTGAGGAAATAAATTTTGATTATGTATGCACTGTGGGCTTAAATTTTAAGTAACAGTCAATTGCAGATTTTTATTTTAACGTGGAAAAAGCGAAAAAGTCGGGAGGAAAGAAAAGCCAGCCAGACAATTGCAATTTAGTAAAAGCCAGACATGTTTAACTTTATCCAGACAGCTGATCACCCTAAATAGGCATATAATTATGATACTAATTTTTTTGTATCATAGCATATTACCTAAATGAATTTCTGAGTTGTAGTTTGAAATATAATGTCTCGATCATTAAGTTATCTTATATTATCCTCATCATTTTTTTACATTTGTAATACTAATAATAATGTATCTATATTTTTTAAAATGTGATTGATACATTTTTTATTATAAAATTAAGTTTTATAAATAATATTAGTCCTTCCTATATACTTAAAATAATGTCACTTTATCATCATTGGATTATCCTGATTTATTTATAAGAAGAATAAGTAATTACTGTGTATTTCACAAATACAGAAGTATCAGCATTGTACAAAGTTTATTTTGACAATATCACTCATGATTTACATTTACAACCAGAATAAATATTATTTTAATTATGGCTTAATCTTATCACAATCTAAAGATTAATTTACCCACCAGTGATATTTGATTTGTCTTCAATTAAAATGTCCATGGAGTAAAACTATTTTATTTATTTTAAACACTATACAAAAATTAATATAATTGTAATTAATTAGAAAAAATGCTCTCTTATTCATATGTTTATTTTTTAATTTAAATAATTTCTTTACTGTGATTTTAATTAACATAGTGAACTGAATAATTTTTAATTCTGAAATTTTGATTTAATAGCACCCGTAATTGGTATTGAAATTTTAAAAAACTAAAATAAAAACCTATTCTTAAAGAAAATAATAAAATTTTTCAGATGTAGATTTTTGAATGTTAATGCAGTTTAGTTAGAAATTCTTTATATTCATATTAAAGAAATCCTGTTACAATCTGGACTAAAAAGTACAATTTAATGTTGTCTTTATAGTTCTAAGATTATTAACTATTATAATATATATTGACTTGTTTTTAGGACAACAAAAATGCCACTTTGATGATCTCACTGACGTGGATAAATGTGGAGAAAACGAGTCATGTTTGGAAACAGGGCTGTGCCATTGTTTGCCGACACATGAACTAAAGGATAGTGTATGTGTTCCTATTGTTTCAGTTGATATAAGGTCTTCAAATTATTCAAATTTAGTCAATAACCAAGGTAGCGGTTCGATAGTTGCTGGAATATTAATTCCATTGTTTTTAATAGTTTTTGTGATGTGTGGAGTATATGTAACAAGGAAATATCATCTTGCTTCATGGTTCCGAAATAGATTTCGAAGAAGGAATGAAAATTATGATGAATTTATGATAGGGCAAGATGATGATGATGAGCCTCTTAGCTAAATGCCTATTTAAATGGTCTAGTGCCTGTTTTCTTTGCAAGTGTTGATATTTTTTTGTTACATTGCACAAAGACAACCTATGAACTATATCTATAAGCTAATTCCAGTCTCAATTTTTGTGATCTTTAATTTAAAGACTTGTCAGAGAAAAAAAAATATTTTTAGTAGAGTACATTCTAAGGCCATCGTATTTTGTATATGTTGCATTGTATGTAAACCTTTTAATGTTGATGACAAATCCTAATACCAAAGTTAAATTTTATTATCTAAATAAAAAGCTAATTTATTATTTATTTAGATGTGTTTCATTTTTAAAGATAAGTTTAAAATCCTAAGACCATTAATAAACGTTTTATTTCAGTATTAATATGTTATCAATTACATACTAAATAATAAATATTACAATTTATTTTGGATTTTTTTATAAATTCCCAACAAGAGTACATAATTTATTTAAAAAACATCAGAAAATTCAAAACTAGTCTAAATAAGTTTTTGAAGAAGAGAATATATGAAGGTGTTACTTACCCATTCCGTACGCCGCTGGCAAAGTTTAACTGATTTTTTGCTGTTTGGTAAGTATAATTTTATAAAAAAATCCAAAATTAAAAATAAAATGAATCATATCCGCCATTTGAGTGTCAATATCTCGAAAACCAATCACTTTATGAGTTTCCAACAAGAGACATAATTTATTAAAAAAAAAAAAAAACGTAAAATAGTCCAAATAAGTTTTTGGACAGAGGCGTAAAATTTAGAGGGGATGAAGTTGTACACCACTGGCAATAATCTCCCTAATTCACCCCTTACATGTGAATTTCAACCCCTGAAGCCGACTGAGCTTGTGCGGGGAAGGGACGGCTGTTATTATTATTTATTTAAATAAAAAACTATCATAAATAATACTTGAAAGACAAGATACTAGTAATTATAAATATATAAAAAAATAATAAATAAAGTGTCAGTCGATAAGTAAATACACTTGTTTCAACAGATATAAATACTAAGTAATAAAATATAAATAAATATCTAAATATTATGGTAAACTCTAAACTTGTAAGATAATTAATTAAAAAAGTAAATATTGGGTAAACAATTAAGGATCTCAGAAGAAGAGTATATCAAAATTCAGGCAATAGTTTATGTAAGATTTTTTTTAGTTCTATATTAATATTTTTAATTTTTCTCTACAAGTTATATAAGTTCATATATTATCTTTCTATCCGTTTGTAATAAGTGAAATTTTAATATTTTTTAAATGAGATGCTACAGATTTATAAATTTTATTTGATGTGTGTGAATATAATCTTTGTGATAAAGATTTTGTTACTGTGGTTGGAATAGTGTTATTTTTCTGCCTTGTGTTGTATGTTGTAAGGTATATTTATTCGTAGAAAAATTAAATTTAGTATTCACACTTAGTTTAGAATAGTTGGGGCGTAGATCCAAAATTTGGCTTTCCTTGAATAACAGGTTAGGACAGTATTTTCGATTTTTGGATAAAATTAATAACACAAATCTCTTTTGTAGGATTTCATCAAGTGCTCTAAGTGCACTCCCCTAGATCGCTATACCATACCGCAGATGGCTTTCAACCAATGCCAAATATAGTATTTTCATTGCTTTTACTGGAAGGTATTTATTCAGATACTTAAATTTATATAAAATTGATTGTAATTTTTTTATTACACATTTTATATGAATGTCCCATTTAAGATGAGTTGCTAATATGGGCAGATATTTGTGTTATTGCAGCTAAAGGGTAGAAAATGTGTTTTGTCCATATCAATGGTTATAGCAGTTTATGGTCGAACTATTTGTTCAGATATAGAAAATAACTTTCTGCTCTATCTTTTAATTCGTTCCAGGTAACAGCCTCATAAAAAACGCAGTCTCGTCAGCATAACCCAGTATATATCCTGTTGTATTAAGACTAAATATATAATATTTATAGTTCTTGATTATTTATCGGGTGTAGAAAAAGTAGCTTATGCAACTCGCATGTAATGGCTATTAATACACTCGCATAAACCATACGAAAGTCTTTGACACGGTTAGCCATCAGCAAATCTTGAATCCATTAGTTAAAAGAAAATGTTTGCTTTTGTTAGAAAACTATTTAAATGATAGATCACAAGCCGTGAAAGTTAATGGTACAATAAGCAATGAAAAACCTATCGACTAGTAACTTTGCTTTACTTCGTGGTATTCATCTTATTTATTGTATATCCGTTTATTTGTTGTTGTCGTCAATTATGTACTATGGGGTACCACAAGGTAAGGTTCTAGGGCTAATCCTCTTTAATTTATACATAAATAGTATATTCCCAGACAGCACACCAAATCCTTTGGATATCTACTGAACATCCCAATATCCACTGAATGTCCAGTCCATGGTGGATATCTATTTTATATCCATGAGATGTAATTTATAGACATGCAAATGTCCATAAATAATAGTAATTATATAGCAAATTATTAAAAAATTACGCCATTGTGGCTAATAGTACCGTTCAGATATTTCAAATAATTTTTTTAAGGTGTATTCAATATCCCATGGACATCCACTAAATATATCAAAGTCTAGGCGCGAACGCAAACCATGGTGGATATCCGCTAGATGTAATTTTTGATTTTGCTTACCAAGTATAGATGGCGATACCACTTTCGCTCGTTGTCATGCTCAACCCGCCGTAATTGAGTTCGATCGAAATTGATATCCCAATCAGACTCCATTAGAGACTGGCACGAGACTGGAGTCGAGAATTTCCATTTATTGCTGAATAAGAGTCCTAATAAGGATGACTTTCTCCTTAGTGGGCAAAATCAAAGGCATAGTGTTGAAAATATTTTTTGTCTCTGCTATTTTCTTTCGACGCTATTCAATAATCATTGGTTACTTATGAACCTCTACTAAAGATACCCATAAAATATTTTGCTGAATATCCGAATATCTTCTATATCCTGGGATATAGACGGACATTTGGATATCCATATTAGATCCACTAATGGATATCCTAGTTCCGAAATTGTCGGTTTAGTCGTTTTAACCTATCAGATTAAAACAAGAAAACCGACAATTCCGAAGCAGAAGCGGATGATTAAAACGCACCTATTAAAAATATTGCGCCAAGATGTAGGCAACACGTAATAAGGGTTCAAAATGGCGGACTTTTCTATCTCCTTTTAAAAGGCACTCAGAAAGCTGCGCAGTACGACCATTCTCCGTATAGTAAAAGAAAATCAAAGTATGTGCCCGTATTTATAAACAAAACTCAGCCGAGTCGAACTTGGGTAAGTTGTCCTTGAACTAAAATTGAAGTTCGGTTGTATCGCGTGAATTTAAGAGGTAGGGTAGTAAAAAATCCTTAAATGTACATAACAGTTACAAATTTGCTAATATCCATCTCTAAATTCTAGTTTAACTCCAGAACCACCTAGAACTTTACAAACGTTATAACCGAACTTCGATTTTAGTTCAAGGACGACTTACCCAAGTCCGACTCAAATCATTGAGGTAACGGCGTAAAAAGACAGCCACCATATACCTTTAAAGAAGGAGGCCATTCTTAAATTTATAAGAAATTGAAGAAGCTGAAGAAGATTTTCTTTTTTGCATAGAAAAATATTTTTAAATTAATTTTTAATAATGCCTCGGCGAGGGAGATCTAAAAAAGATGGCCCGGAATCAGGGGAAGACTCGGATGAATATAGAAAAAGGCGTGACAGAAATAATTTGGTAAATAATTATTATGAAATACTGATTTTATCGCAACACAATCTTTCTCTTTTGTAGGCCGTTAAACGCAGTAGAGTAAAATCCAAACAAAAAACACAAGAAACATTATCTAGGGTAAATGAACTCAAAAACGAGAATACAATTTTGGAAGAAAAAGTCAAAACATTGACTAAAGAATTAGGATTTTTAAAAGAATTATTTTTGGCACATGCATCAAATAGTGCTGATAAAAGTAAATTCGAAGGAGTTAATCTTGAAAAACTGTTGCAGGATAACTCTGAAGGTTCAAGTCAGAATAACACATAAACAAGTAATTTTATTTCGTGGCATCATGGAGACCAACCAATTGTGTTGTCCTGTGATACCTACTCACTTTTATAACTAAAAAACACAGTGTCTTAAGAGAATTTAGAACAAATTTTGATATATTTCCTTTATTCTAAATGAATATTTGGTTGTATGTAGTCAACAATAAAAAAAATATAGACATACCCTCTCTAGCTATTGAAGATGAATTGTAATTTGTCAATATGCAATAGAGTTTTTTTAGAATTGTTGGTGTATCTATCTTATGAAATAAGTAAACAAAATCTTATATTAGTGTCCCAGCTCAGAGTGCTAATTGTCAACGCCCACTGATTGCATTTTGTGATCAGATGTTTTTAAACTCTAGCATGATGCTTTTGAAAATTTATTAATATATTAACTAGAGTGTGGAAATCTTTAAGTGACATCACACCCCAAAATTTTAGTTGCAACCATTAAGAAATTACGTTTTGGTTACACAACTTTACGTTCTCCTTAAAAGCAGGGTTATAATAAGTTATAATATTGTTTTTATTTGTTAATACTTTAGGGTTAATTTAAATTCCTTCTGTGTATACAATAATCCAAGCTGTACAAACATACTATAGACTATCCTTTATATGGACAGAGAGTGACGATGAAGATAGTGAAGTCGTAGAATTGCTGTAAAAACACAAATTTATTTTCTAATAATGTCACATCCTGACTCGGTATCATGGCATTCTAAATGCACCCCTGACTAACCAAGGCAAGTGTGGAAATTATCCACTTAAGTTGAGGAAAATTTCATGGACTGGTGAGATAAGATAAAACTCTAGAATTAACAGCACAACCATATGAGCATAAAAGTTGCAATATTTGTATGTATGAGACAGATGGTATCTACTCTAAAAGTGATTCTCATATTTTCACATACATGCCAAAATCACTGAGAAGATCCATTCTACTTTTTTGAATGTTATGCAGTAAAATTTATTTAAGACACTGTGCTTCTGATTTACAGATTTTAAAATTGGAAAATAGGTGTCAACCTGTCCAAATTTTTGTGGCTGTTAAGTATTGTTAATATAAAAAATAATGGTGAAAAATTTATTTACAGTTAAACTATTTATATAGTTCATTGTTTCAAATGCATTTTTTGTATTATTTTTAGACATATTTGTATTTTTTTGTATTTAATGGATTAATAAAAACAAATTGTTTTAACTTCAATGATTTTATTGGAAAATAAATTATATTTTCATATACAAATAAATTAATTAAATCATCATCAAAATTCAGGGTGGTCCAATGAAAAGTAGCCCATTTCCAGAGCTTATAACTTTTAAGCACCTAATCGTAGAAACGTGCGGTTTTTGCTGATATGTGTTATTTTGCTATAAGTTTTGCATCAGTGACACATAAATTATGTATTACCTATACAGGGTGTTTTTTAAAAATATCTTAAATTCACCTTATCCAAATTTTATCAAATGGAACACCCTGTATATGTTTAGATCATTAGAAATATACTCTTCTACTTTTCAAAAATGTATAATTTGTACATGGTATTTTACAAAATAAATTTGATTAGAGTGAATTTAAGATATTTTTAAAAACACCCTGTAGTAATACATAATTTCTGTATCACTAAACCAAAACTTATAGCAAAATAACACATATCAGCGAGAACCGCACGTTTCTATGATTGGCGTTTAAAAGTTATAAGCTCTGGAAATGGGCTACTTTTCATTGGGACACCCTGTTTAATAATTATATAACCCAATTTACAGAAATAAAAACATTACATTCTATATAAAAGAAATTAAATTTATATTCCTAATAGGAAAATGTGTATAATGTCTAGCCTAAAAATACTTTTTGTTAATAAAAAAATCATCAGTCAAAAGGGTTTGGCACTATTTTTAAATTATTTTTTATGTACTGTAATATTTGATACAAATTATCTCTATTACTATTATCACTTAAACAATCCAATTCTAAAGCCACACCACTTTCGACAAGTTTTAAACTGGTAACAAATTTAAAAAACACTTCTTGCTCAGTACCATTTGATATTTTCAACTTTTTAACAAGTATTCCTTCTACAAATTCTTCATGACTTCTTTTTCCAGGAGATTTCGCTTCAGAGTCTATTGTAGATTCTTTTTCAAATGATAAATTATTATTTTCTCCTACAGAATCAAAACTATCTATGCTTCGTCTAAGTTTTTCTCTTCTTTTTCGCCTTTGATTTGACCAGGTATTAGAATAAGCACTAACAAAATATCTAATAACATCTTTTTTTCTAGAAACTTCTTCTACAGCCATGTTTAGATCATTATATAATTTTATTACACAATCTCTAATGTTGTTTAATGAAAATTCATTTATATTTTTAAGTGATAGAAGGTGAGATAAGGGTTCTTTTCTTTTGCTTTGTTTTGCTATTTGTTTTATTGGATCTGGACAGTTTCTTAAATCAAAATTGGAGCAGAATGTCCAAGCTAGCCCCCATCTTGTAGTATTGCCCTGACAAAATTCAGTTTCTTTAAAACTAGAAACTTCAACTTCTCTCAATAGTTTCTTCAACTGTGGCAAATGTTTCTTATGACCAACCATAGTTGTATATATTTTAATTTGAGTTTCTAATTCTTTACTCTCTTTAATAAGTTTACTTAAAAAATCTACTTCACCACCTTTTACTACAACTTCAGTGACTGTAGCACAAAATGAGTTTTTAGGTCTTGGCCTGTTTAAGCTTCTTGTATTGGAATTTGATTGTAATTCTTGAGCACTGCCAAAAAATGGTGGATTACACATACAAAAGTCATATTCTTCACCTTTCAACAATTCTTTTAACAACACATTTTCTTCAACTTTTATAACTTTAATGAAATCTTGCAAACAATTTTTGTCTATATTATTTTTAGCATATCTTATACTTTCATCATCAACTTCAGAAGCAACCATGTACCATTGATTTTTCTTAGCTGCAAGTAGAGGATAAACACAAGAAGCACCTGTACCTATATCTATTCCTTTCAATTTATCAGTTTTATTTGATAGCGACAAAAGATCTTCCAACCACAAAATATAATTTAATCTTAAAGGAATTGTTGGGATCAGTTTGCTCAGCGGTATCTCTATATCGAGTCCAAAATCTTTCTTCAATAAAATACATGACAAACCTCGCAATGCTTTTATGTTTTTGAAATCTAAAGATACTTTACCAGTAACGTCGTGTGTAATAAATTCTCTAAATTCTGGATAATCTAAGGCTAGTTGTTTGAAGTTTGGAGGGGATTTATAAATGTTTCTTGGATGCATATATTTATTCATCGCCATTTTAGTTATTTGAAAAATTTCACAATCACAACCGCTAATCGTGTTTTTTCTTAGGTTTTTTTGAATTTTTAAAAAAAATATTTTAAGGTTAGTCAAATTTTCTACTGACTTCTCTTGTTCTTTTAGATGCCTCCAACGTATTTGTTCTTCGGTTCAAGGAAACTGGACTGCTTAATTAAAATAAAAAAGGACGAAAAGAAATTAGGCATCAAACAAAGGCTATATCATAGATTACTAATGTGAATAGATGGGAAACTCAATGCGCTAGTTCCCACATACTTTGATTACTATACGAGGCAAGAGAGAGGTCCGACCATAGCCCTCAGAAGGTCTAGATACCGCATCGTAAAAACATTTTGACCCCCCATATGATGGGCGCCATGATAAATAAATGTCAATAAATTTTAAGTTGGCACTACTGACAAGACAGAATCGGCGCAAGATGGGCGCAAGTTTAGTAATAAGCCGAATAAGCGTAGATCGGCGTTCGACGTATATAATCGATTTTATTATCTGTTGTGTTGTTTATTTTATTTTGTTCTTCTAGTAAAGGTTTTATTTAAAACATTATTTTTTAGTTTAGTCGTTTAGTGTTTTATTTTAATAAAAAACATTTGTGGTTTGGTGTTAAATTTTTACAGGATTTTTAAAATCTCTTTTTGTTTTGTACGTGAATGTAACAATGCATCTAACGGTAGAAGATACAAGGAAGGAATAACATTTCATGTGTAAGTTTTCACAAATATTTGTGTATTATTACAAAATCAAATAATTTGTATGTTTTGTTGTAGCATACCAAAAAACGTTAGGAAAGAATAACTGATAGCCATAGGAAGACCATTGAATCATTTTGTGACTTTAGTATAAGCCCAGAAAATTTGGGGATACTAGCTGAAACGGCAAATGTGTTATTGGCTCCTTGTTAGTGACCTATTGTACAATTTTTCCAACACAAATTCCATGATCCTTTGAACTTGGCTGCACCGTACTGATGAAGACCAATAGTTAGAAAAACGTGTCGACCGTTACTTCTTTTTTACTTTTTTTTATTCGGAAAATGTCCACTATTACTACCTTGATACAATAATATTAGTTCCGTTCTACGTAGGTACATATTACAGTTTGTATGTTTCATGCTTTATTTTATTATATGTAACAAATGATAGGAAATATACTTTTATAGTAAATAAATTGATTAAAGCAATATGTAAGAATAAGTTTATCTAAGGATTAAATTGTTAAAGCAATTTTTCATATCCATTGTTTATTAATTTGTTTCATTTAATTCTTTCTTATTGAGTAAGTTATTTCATATAAATATGCGATACTTGTAAAATGTAATATTTTCTTTTAAATAGGTATATATTATGTTCGTATAAAATATTGTTCAGTTAATAAAAACAGAAATATTTTGTCTTTTATTCAAAAGAAGTTTGTAAATTTTTCAAAATATATTTACCTACCCCAAAAAAAGATTAATAAAACCAGTTAGTCATATACACATTTTCTATATATTTATAGAAGTACTTTTTAAATAACTTTCAATACATTCGAAATCTGTGGTTTTATTAAACTCAATGTAACAAATAATAATAATAGGTATTCTCAAAAATATTTAAAAATAAAATCGAGATGGGACTCTTGTATAATTTAGTGACTATTCGCCTATGGTTAGTGCACTGCTGTATGTCCCTAAGTTTTCTACATTAGAACAATACTGCTTCTCCACTGTAGCAGTATTTTTTGCATCTCAGATTATATTTATTAAAAAACCAAGGAATTATTTTGGGCCTATTGCTGGGCCCTTTTCCAACATTCCCAAAGTTTTTTTTTTTACTTTCTGCTGATTGGATCTCCGATAGCGACAACTCCATTTGTTGTTCCACTAGTTTTTTATCAAATTTTTAAAATAACTTCTATATATTTATCTTTTGCAATGACTTTGCTTACCTGCTTCATAATCTCTTCCCTATGCCCCAATTTCTCTAACAGGTGAGATCTTATACTCGCTCTATTAAATCAAATTATCATAGTTTATTTGAAAATGCTTGGTAGCACAGTTTTTATGGCAAAGGTCCATATTTTTATATAATTTTGCTATTATTCATTTTCAAATAAACTATAGGAATAGGAGTAATCTATTAGTTTTTCTAAAAATACCTTGTTACCGATGTAAGTATATCTTTCCCTAGTTAAAAAATTCGAGTTTTTATTTTCATAATATAATATAAATAAATGACCGGTTAACAATCACATTCTTTTAAATAGTACATTTGACATTGAAGTAGGTATTTTCTCCATATTGCCAAACAGAAACAGATGGTTAACTTGTAATTTGAATTATATTACATAAATCTCACTGAATTTCTCTATAATTCTCATAGCAATATGTACACAAACCACTTATCCAATAATATATAACCATGTAAAAATAACATTTCAAGAACGAGAAATTTTATAAAACCGGTCCTGTCTGAACAGATCTAGGAAAATCAAATAGGTTTGTCAAAGTTTTGTTCTTAATTTGAAATTAGAAATTGTGCGTCTCACTCACTTATAACTAATAACAAAGTGCAGATTATCGGTGTTCACGTATTACAGAACACACAAACTAAAAATCAGTGTAGCCAAAACATAAATTTACCTAACATGGCGACAAGCTTGAATGGGGTAATTTTTTTGTATTGACAGTATACGCCAAGCGGTATCTAGACTTTCTGAGGGCTATGGGTCCGACACGCCCAACATAGGGCGCGGCCATTTTGAACCCTGTGACACAGTTTACAGCTAAAGAATCAGATCGCTCACTCTGCATCGGCACTTTGGATCTCAATGTTTTAGTTTATACACTGTGCAACTCGGATAATACAATATATGACAACCGCTTATAATAAAACAGCAGTCTTCTGCGTATCCTGAATTTGTATCCCTGGAGTGGATGTTATTTTGGAACTTTCAACTGGTCCGAGTGAGCTAACTTGATTCTTTAGCAATAAACTGTGACTTCAAAAATAATATTCACTGACAGCAGCAAGCAAAATATCAGGTGCGTTTTAATCATCCGCTTCTGCTTGCGGAATTGTCGGTTTAGTCGTTTTAACCTGTCAGATTAAAACAAGAAAACTGACAATTCCGAAGCAGATGATTAAAACGCACCTATTAAAAATATTGCGCCAAGATGTAGGCAACACGTAATAAGGGTTCAAAATGGCGGAGTTTTCTCTCATTTTAAAAGGCACTTAGAAAGCTGCGCAGTGCGACCATTCTCCGTATAGTAAAAGAAAATCAAAGTATGTGGCTAGTTCCACATACTTAGATTTTTTTTTACTATTCGCGATTCAAGCTAAGTGATACGCCCTCTGGGGAAATTAGTAGAAGGTCCCTATAAGTAGGATGACGTTCAGTGTTGCCAGAAGCAGCAAAATTTCGATACGTCATCGGATTTTAGTTCTTGAACAAATGGATAAGACCTTTTATTTAAGAATCAAAATTTGTGTCTAGTAATATGTAATCATACTTTTATTTAAGGATTTTTTTATAAAATCGATTTATTATATTGATTTTTTTTTTAAATTTCAGATCATTTATTAATTTTAGTTTTAAAATCAGTCAGAGACAAAATCAGTTCATCATTTGGCAACATCGGCGTTCGTGTTCATTGTTTACATTTTAATTTGTATCAATTACAATTAGAGTTTTTTGTTACTTTTTAGCTTTAAATTTGTTTATTTCTTATAGTATGTGATAGTATTTAAATTAAAAATGAAATCTGCGAAAAAGCCTCCAGCAAATTGCAATCTATATGGTGTTATTGTCAAAATCAAAACTGAAGTATTCATTATTTTTCAAGTGCAAGTCATAAAATTTTGTTTCTTACGATAAATGGGTATCTACAAATTCACAATATTGAAATTTTGCAAAACGTTGTTTAGAATCAAACTCCAATATGAGTTGTGACGGTTTTATTACCATTTATATGTATATAAAGTACTACACAATTCACTTCATGATATAAGAATAAGGATAGTAAGATTTTTAAAGAAGTTCATCAATAATAAACGTTTGGTACCTGATATGTCCTTTAAACCACATAATAAAACATGTCCTGGGTTTAGTAAATACATATTTCTAGATGTTCTTGTAGCAACCAATAGGTCAATATTTCCAACAAATTAGTTCATACTACACATGAAAAATATTACATTTATAACGAAAGCACGAAAACTAAACTTAAATTAACACTAAATGAAACTCAAAAACACTATTATAATAAGAATATTATCTAAAAACAGTTAAAAAATCACAAATACAAAATCCCACAACACGTAACTAGTGTTGTGAATATCCGTATCTTTTTAGTATTCGGATAATACGTATTCGGAACCAAGAGATATTCGGATTCATTATCCGGATACGTATCCATATGTGTGAAATCATAATACGCAACCATAAATACACCGCGACCTTGGGAATCGGAATCGGGCAGTGTTGTCAACCCTAGCAGAATTTATGTTTGAGAGTGAAGTAACAGGAGCTTTTAATGTTTTAGAATAATAAACACAAGATAAATCTCAAATATTTTGTTTTTTATCATAATATCAGAAACAAAATTTCTCATTTATATTTATATAACTTCATGTTACCTTTAAAATATGCAGTGCATGCTTTAGTTTTTCTATGGTGCATGCCGACTAACCGATTATGAATTGCAACAACGCTAGACGATTCCGAATTCTGATTTCGTATCCATAGTTCGTGTGTAGTTCGTATCGGCTGCCACCCGCAAAACCCGAATCGGCTCTGTCATAACAGAACTTGCAGCATTTGATTCGTGTATTACGATTTTGTTTCTGTTCTTTTTGATACCGAATTCGTATTCGAATTTACACTATTGATTCCGGAATATCCGGATCCTTTTAATATTCGGATTCAACGGATTTTTGGATACGTATTCTTACATCACTACACGTAATAATAAACAAACATCCTACTTATACGTGACAAATGACAGGCGCGCGAAAATTAATTTGAATCGCGAATACGGAGAATGGTCGTACTGCGCAGCTTTCCGAGTGCCTTTTAAAAGGAGATAGAAAACTACGCCATTTTGAACCCTTATTACGTGTTGCCTACATATTGGTGCAATATTTTTAATAGGTGAAATTTTGACATAAAACAAAAATTATAGATAATAATATTAGAAATAACTTTTATTTGAACAATTTTTTTCTCCAAACATAAATAACAGATACA